TACGTTGATGCCTATAGGAAATGCCTATAGGAAACTTTACTAGAAAAAGTTTCAAAATGTTGTTTCAAACCAACATCCATCCCTATGAAAATGTTATTTAATGGATTCGAATGACTGCCTCAATTAGAACACCCCAACGAGTTCATGCAAAACTTATCGTTAAAATTGCTTTATACTTGAAACGTGACCACAATGTTCAACGACGAATGATGCAAAGTACCAAATATGCTCGATTTAAGTCTCAGTTGAGTGTTCGATTCAATGAAGCATCGAGGCTGCACAAGAATTCGATAAAAGAGTGAAAGAGTTTGAGCCGACCTGAAAGAATGAGTCAGGCATCCATATTTGCTGGCCGGCTGTCAGGATCAAGAAATCGGGTTTATTGTCACGAGGTAATCCATACGCCAACCGACCATCGACCCAAGTCTCTCGAAATGTCATCTGTACGCTGTACTCCATGTTCACATCATCGATTTTTGAGATACTAGAATTTATTTTATCACAATTTAGAATCATGAAATATATGGGGCTAACTGTGGAACGCTTCGAATTTAGACCAAAGTTGTGTAGTTTCTCTTCATTGCACATCATAGCCCAACAGAATGTTGCATTGACTGATGCATGATCTCATTTATTACCGCTTGTATAAATTGCTGGTAGATCTACAACACAGAGAAGGCCGATCGTGAGCGAATAGAGAGCAGGCAAATAGATTTATGAATTCGTTGCTATACTGATACGGAAATGGGTAGCGGATTTAAAGCATGACGAGCGCAATTTCCATTCCACAACGTTTCATGATCACGGTTGAATGCCAATGCTGAGAAGTAAGTCGAAAATATAAAACGCTCAATTTTGACAATACTCATGATACATTCAGTGTTAATGTTGCACTCCTCATTGTTTTAAATGCTCTTCGCTTGCCTTCAGTTCTATCGAGAGAAACATTCACTGAAACTATCTTCAGTATGCTTTGTGAATCTTATTCAGTTAAGCGTGAAAAATTGCCTCCGCTTTTCTTCAGTAAGCAGCTAACATTTATGGATCAGTTATTTTTGACAAAATGAAATAATGAATGAGATAAGTGATGAGTGACGAGCTGGAGCGCTATATCATGATCGTTTTCATTCATTTGATTCTACAAATTCATCAATAATTGAGTAGAGAGGTGCACAACGATAGAATTTTTGATGTATTCGTGTAAAAATGTTGCTGTCAAGCTGCGATGAGCAATTAACGTATATTAATACATTACAATAATCACCCTACGACAGACACTAAATTCAATCATTATCATCTGCGTTTACTGCTCACCACCCACACTCACATGCACCTGCACATGCACACGTACACCAATTTTTATAACTGCTGACAAAACGCATTCATAAATCTTGATGGATCTCAACTCCCACATCATGGCATAGAAAGAGACGGCGGATAAATCCAGCTTATGTTCAGCCACCTAAATGATTTGATTTGATTTCTNCATTTCCAAGGCTTATTGGTGAGGCAAAATGATGCTGATTCAAACTTAAGTCTGATTCAAAATTACACTCCCTTCACATTTCAATCCAACAATCTTCAGCGAATTCAAAGCCGTTTTACTCAATTTTGTGGTTTATGACTGTGGAATCGTCGCATTGGTTATGCCAACCAACCGTAACATTAGTCGAAATCATCAGTGAATGCGAACTGAAGCAGCAGGCATGTGATGCGACATTTCTGAGAAATCAGAGAGAAATTTATGCATTGAGGAAGCATGCCTAAACGCGTCAAGTGTGTGCAATATTCATGACACACCCTGAAGAAATACACTTTGATGGGTTCTTTTCAGTTGGAATGAGAAGTGAAATTTTCGAAAGTACATTTTGTCGAATAGATGAAGTTTTTTTTTCAGTCTGATGAATTCATTCATGAACGGACGATACGATTCATGACAGCTGTCCGAATTTCAAGCGAATAGTTCTTGAGTAATTCAGACTTACTGAATCTCATCAAACCTCAACGATGCAACTTAAATGATCAGCTCTGAACTAGCGCTCATGATTTTCTCTCCATACAGTCAGTCAGTCATACGTTCGACTGAGTCTATCTGTTAGATGCGAAAAAAATGATTTGCACTCTTCGTTCACATTTATATTCAATCTCGTTCATTTTATAATGTATTTCGGGTAAGCCTCAATCGCCACCTAATTAGTTTCGAAAATGTT